TGAAAGAAAAAAAGTGAGAGGTTGAACTAGATTACGAGTAGAAAGATGATGAGTTGGTTTCAAACAAGTTAAATCTAAGATAATGGCTCTACTTCAGACAGACTGGAATTCAGGTAAGGAAACAAAGCACATCCAAGAATCTCTTCCACTCGTTTAAAAAAAAAAAAGCTAATTTAGTAAGGCCAGCAGAAGGGCTGAAGCCTAATGTAAAAGCTAACTGCTATTTAATTGGAGTTATAGTATTTTAGATCAGGTTTAAGAAGGTTTGAATTCTAGCTATTTGACATGAGTGGAAATAATTATAAGGCAATTAGGATTAGATAAGTGACAGGGATAGCAACCTGATATTATGTTATTGAAATAGAGATTCAAGTTCTTTTGGTGGAGCATTACCCAGATTACTTCAGGAATGTTAGATATTTTAAGATTATAGACAAGTTATCAATCTAATTTATCTACCTATTATTAAGATTATTTTAATTGCACTTAATTGTGTTTTCATTGATTTTCTCATTTCTTCTTTTTAGAGATAAGTTATCTCTTGTTATATTTTAGGCTCTTGGCTTAAATTACATTCACTAGAAATTTTGGAGAAATACAGTCTTCTTTATTTCTTTATGAATAAAATAGTCTCAGAGCAAGAATCAAGGATGGTCACAAAACAGTCCAAGGAGAAAATTCTAATACCTGCCAGAGTAATGTGTACAATGAACACTTTTGAATTCTCCCAGACAAAGCATAGGAATCTTGGCACCAGGTTTTCTGCCTCTAATAGAGTGTGGCGTATGCTCTTTACTTTATGAGAAATGGCATCTTCTCTGCACTGTACTCATGTGTGTATCATGACCTTAATATGTCAGATCTACTGCATAATTGTAAATTAAGCATATTGTAAAAGTAGTTGTGATGGCATGTACCAACATATTTTAAAGTTTTAAAAAAACCCTGCAAAACTTATAAATGGAATAGGAAAGAACCTTGACCACCAACAAGGACATACTTCCAGGCAGATACAAAATAAGCATGTGAGATCGTTCTGGAGAAAAGAATGTCGTGAATGTATTACTGAGTGCACTTTTACATTATCTTTGGTTGTGAAAAGTTTTCTTTGTACAAGATCCGCAATTCTAAAAACAACTGAACTCCCCCCTATTCCTTTGGCCAGTCTGCTTGGCTGGAGTCTAGTAAGCTCCATAACGGTCACTGCTCTTCTTACCCGTCCCTAGAACCCCTTTCTCACAATGGTATTAACTGTTGGAGAATTCTGTGGCTCTCAGTGCCAAGCAGCTGCCTGAAAAGAGGCAGAAAATATGGGAAGATTATATGAAGTCATGCCCAGTTTCCTTATCCCACTTTTACATTATTTTTGGTTGTAGAAAGCTTTTTTTTGTATCAGTTAACGTTAGGTTCAGGTACAAGTGACAGAAACCCAAACCTACTGACTTAAAGGGGATAGATCATTTATTTCTCTTTCCTATACAAATTTCAAAGTAGTCAGCCAAGGGCTAGAGGGAAGGGCAGGCTACCCATGTTCCATGAAATCTTTAGTAACTCAGATTCCTCAAGCTCATGCTCTATTAGCTGGAAGGTGACCACAGGCCTAGATTGGTAGCTTTCATAGGCCAAAGAGCAGAATAGAATTAGGAACTGAAAAGAAGGGCAAAGACTTGTGCCTCCTGTCTTGTTAAGAAAGATCCCAGAAGCTGCCTTATAATGCTTTTGTTTGTATCTTACTGGCCAGAATGTGGCCATATAGCTTATACCAAACTGCAAGGGAAGCTGGGAGATGCCATCTTCTTGCTGAGTGAACATGGTTGAACAGAATAATGTATTAGATAGAATAAGAGAAGAGTAAATATTGGGGAGAAAGTTTATAAGTGCATCTTCCTTTTCCATTGTAATGGCACCATGATTTAGGGATTTTATACCTGAAGCAGAGGGGTAGATGCAAAGTTGTGCAGCAGTAGCTAAGAGTGTGGAACCTGGAGTCCCACTGCTTGAGTTTGAGGCCAGGTTTTCTTAGATGGAAAGGGGAAATAGTATTAATGTCTCCCTTCTAGAGTTGTTGAAATGATTAAGTGAAATACTCAATATATTGACCATGGTATCTAACACTTTAGAAATATTTGATTATTGTTATTAACTCATATTAAAAGGATAAAGTAAAAAGTTTTGAGCTCCCAGATGCATATAACTTGTTTGGAGGATATGTTCACTTTATTTCCCAAATATGATTCAGAGTGGTTTTCATTTCTAATTGCACTTTTCCACATTTAAGGATAAGCTGAGATGTTCGTGCCTAGTTGAGGCTAAAGGTTGAACCTAACAAATTATGTGGTTGATTTCCTTGAATTTTCCGTGGAATCTGCATATTTCACTGATGTCTGTCTGTAAGCTCTTATTCACACTAGTTTTGATGTAAATTACAGTAGATGTAAGAATTGATGGGATCCTCCTTCCCACTGTTGGTCACTGGTGGACCCACAAGGCGGGAACTGGGCACCACATCAAAAGGAGAAGGCCATCCTTGACTAGCCATGGATGGATGAAGTTCAAAAGTGGCAATGTGGAGTGGGTTTGATGTGCTTATCTATAAAGGGTACACAGGTCTGACTTGCAGAACATATGTCAATAAAAATGTGAAAGTTTGGCCTATTTGTTCAGAAACGGTAATAGAGTAGTGAGTGAAAACAACAGCTTGGTATTCCAACTTGGACATGACAATTTTCTTATGATCACAGACAGCAAAATTAGTTGTATTGAGATAACTTTTGCCAATTCCTAAATGTTCTTTTGCTTCTCTCTTTTTCTTTCTTTCTCTAAGCCCCCTCTTTGTTCTGTGGCTTTTCTTTTGTAACTCCTCCAGACTACAGCTTTGTTCCCCCTTCTTCCACTCCTTTCTGGTCAGGTACTGCTTTACTGCTTTTATGTGTCTCCCCAACATGCTTCTGTTTGCAAATAAAATATATTTTGACTTCTTTGTATGGCTTCTCATGTAGATTCATCTCACCCACAGTCCCTAGAGTACCATTACCACCATGCACTTTACTCTTCTCTGTCATAAAGCCATTGTTTGTCATAACATTTCACTTCTCTAGTTTGTGTGTATGTGCTCATGCCATGTATTTTAATAACACATTTTATAATGTATCTGTGGGTAGAGATTGAGGTGGGATGGGGGCTGAAAGTGTAAAGACAGATAAAGTACTCTGAAAAATTAACTTTTTAAGAACTCTAAATTTTAATTGAGAAAAGACAATGTTTATTTCCACAAAGAAAATAAAAAGAACCAAAATCCAAACTTTATCGCCAAGTAGAAGAGTAAAATCCAGTATATATTGCTTGAAAGGATAACACGTACCCATCGATTCTACAGCTCTCCAGTTTGTGCCCAGGCATTTTGGTCCTCATTTCTGTCATTAGCTAGAGAGTTTAGTGGCTATTTATGTGGCATTGAGGGAACTACGTTATGGCTAGGTAAAGTATGTTTTCTTACAGGTTTTAAAAAATTAACCTGTAAGTCCCAATGGAATCATAGAATTTTGAAATAGATGTAAGAAGTCAGCTAGGACAAACCTCTCATTTTATAGATTAAAAAAATGTGGCCTGGAGGGGTTAAAAGGCCCTTGCAGGGTCACACAGTGAAGCTAATGATTGGATTTTTCCATCATGGGGGTTTTTATGTGCACTGACTCTAAGAGCAGTGCCCCAGAAATGGGACAGTTTTCAGTAAGAAAACCATTAAAGTAGTTTGTGTCCTGAACAGTAAAATAAAATGACCTATTTTTACTCCCTTTACAGTTCTGAAATCTATGCCATTGCTATTCGTTTGCCTTATGATTGACACCTAGAGACTAAATAAATTTCTTTCATTACAAAGCCATGATTAATAGGCCAGAGATCCCTGTCACCAAGTGGAGAGACCTTTCCAGAGTAACATGCAGTCACTAACTGCAGTTGCCTGGGCCCTGGGAATTGTGAAAAATACAGATGGATGGTACTTCCCATTCATCTCTTTTTCTTATACTTAAGTCTCTCTACCATTTAAGATCTATAAAGTCCCACCAATCTCAGATGAGTGATTCTCAGATTCACTGAACATATAATTGAAAACACTTTATAACCCCAGAGAGCAACAGGTGGAGAAGTTAATATAAAGCATGTTATGAAACACTAGAGACTCACCAACGTGTACAGCTTAAATGGAGTTCTCATTTCAGTCAGGGCAAGCTCCTCTGCTACTATAAAAAATACTACTATAACAAGCAAACAACAAAAACCTAACATATGAAAGGAACATCCTGACATATTGTTTTTGATTAAATAGTTCAGTAAATTTTTCTGTGAAACGATATTTATTTGGAAAGAGGCAGCATTTGTGTTTTTCCTCTGACACCTGCTTCACACTTCTTCACATAAATGATTATATACACATAACAATAACTGAGTAAATGCCTCGATAATTTTAGAGTAAAAAGGTTGGTTGGGGAAAATAACCACTTAATTAGAAGTAAAGATATCAATTTGACAGACTTTTACCAGAGTGCAGAATTTAGTTGTTTTGAGTGTAAGTCCAAGCAGTTACTAGATAAAAACATAAAGTTTCACCTCGGAGTTTCTAATTAGAAGTAGATTACTGTGCCATTAATAGGAAATTTGTGCTAACTCATTCCAGATTCTTTCAGATAGTAATTTAGGTATAAACTAGTTGTGTTTGGCTTTGGTTTTTGTCTTTCACAAAAACTAGTCCCTATTTTGAGGTTTTTATGAAGAATGTGAAAGTAGAACAGTGGTCCTTTAAACTTTATAAAATGACTTTGCCTGCACCTGATTGAATTGAAACAGCAATTGTGCTGCTTTCAAGCTCCTCTGCCATTATCACCGGTCTGTAATGAAATCATGACTGTGCATCTGATAGCATCAATAATGTTCCTCTGATTAGGTTCCCATGGCTGTTAACCAAGCCCCTATCAACTCTGCCTCCCATCATTTCTTTACAGTGTTAAGTCCAAAAGTGCTGGGCATTGCCATCGCTCGGTATGACTTCTGTGCAAGAGACATGCGAGAACTGTCCTTGCTGAAAGGAGATGTGGTGAAGATTTACACAAAGATGAGTGCGAATGGCTGGTGGAGAGGGGAGGTGAATGGCAGGGTAAGTTGTCCCTCTCAGCGTGCCTGTGCCCCAGACTAAAGGGGATTGGGCAGTCAGTGGCACCTGCTGTGTTGCAATCTTCGCACTATAGAACTCTGGCCTCCAGAGACTGGTGTTCTCCCCTGCTAGGAATAAGCAGTCACAAAAAAGGAGTTGAATGAATATTGTAGCGGCATAAATAAAGTTCACTCCAGCAAGTTTCATAACTTCCTGTTTGGAGGAGAGTTGAGAAGCATTTCAGTTCTTTTTAGAACCTGAGCTATAGAGCACACACTTTATGGGTAGTGCCAAATATCTCTTAAGAGCTGTTGGTCTCAATTGGAAAGAATGGGATGTAGTACCTCTGTTTTTACATCCTGTTCTATAGCAGAAATAGGAATCATTATGTAGTTGAGACCCATATTACACTTAATTTACATATTTATTTGTGCGCTAGCGGATTAGAACACTTTAAGCTTATTTTATTCCTCCATTCTATCATTCACTCTATTAAGCTTTTAAGAGCAGTTAAACCTCTCTTCTTCACCTACAGCAGGCATAAAACCTGAGCTTAATTGGGGTGTTATGAAAACGAAATGCTCTGTTTGTAAAATCCTTTGAAGTGCCAGATGCAGAGTCATGTTGCTATGTTGGTTGCTTTTCTTTTTCAGGTGGGCTGGTTTCCATCCACATATGTGGAAGAGGATGAATAAATTCCAATCCAGCATTGCACCCTGCACCAGAAATCTCAGAGAACGAATAAACAGAGCTTGCACAGCATTATGAATTACCTGAAGTGTTTAAAAAGCTGCACTTCTGGCTGTTCAACATCTCCCTCCTTTTCCCCTCCTAAGTCTTAATGCTGGGACTTCTAAAGATGCTGGTACTGACAGATTAATGGCTTGCCTAGAGCCGTTCAAGAAACAGCTTGCCTGTCTGTCATTGTCAGGGACCAGGGCAAGGCCAAAAGCTTTTCTTCCCCAAAGAACCCTGCAAACACATCCGTTCAGATTTATCTTTACCCCCATCAGGTCAGATACCCTAGATATCAGCCACTAGCAAATGTGTATTTCTTTATTTTCATGTGCTATTCCCCAGAACTTTTGGTGGTACAAAGAAGCCGAGATTTAATTCTGCTTTTCCTAGATGAAAAAAAAATTAAAGAGTCTTGCCATTTGGGAAAGATCCAGCATTACTTGTCGTAAATTGTCCAACAGGTGACTCATTGCCCAGCAAAGAGTTTTAGCCTCAGATGTTACTCATGATAAAATATAAAAGACAAATGCTTAGGTTTGCGTCATAAGTGAGATATTCCAGAAAGGTTTTAATTACTCATTTTATGTTCTGATTATATTTGCATGCTCCTTTTTATAAAAAGGGGATAAAGCACATGAAAGAGAGTTGTCTTCATATTAAATTTTATGATTCCATAGGGTTATTTTGGAAACCCACTACTTGATGAAATAATTCCGGCCAGGGATATTTTGTTTCCCATAACCTGAGTAAGGTGGCATTGTTTACAGAAGCAGATCAAGGGCTATAATCTATAGTAAATAATTTAAAGCAGCAGTATCTGTTAACATTAGCTTTTTCCTTCCCCCTGGATAGATCTGGAACATATTTGTTGAATCCTGTATTCTCTTGGAGTATCTACATGAGCACAAACAAGTTTGTTGAGATTTTGGAAGGAAAGCACATCTGGGTCCTTTATGCATTTCAGGGACAAAACGAGGGTCACTGGGCTTCTGTGGACTTGTGACTTTTCTGTCTTCCCTTTTGCAGGCCTTTCTAGGCATGTGTTACCTAGCAGAAGATGAGTTTTGCAGTACATTAATTTTACCATGCCTTCATATTTTTATGTGAGGATCTAAATACATCCTTCTGGAATGCCCAGAGTCTCCAGTTCAGGCAGTCAAGTTAAGACACGAACTTGGCCCTTTCCTCATGAAATATTTCCTCCGCAGTGGAAGTGGTGTTCTGAAAAGATTCAGAAAGTGTTTTATATTTGGGACAAAAATTTGAAGCATTAACTTCATAGAGCCAAACTACGAACATTCAGTTTTGAAATTTTGGATCATGTCTGAAATGAGGTGGCTATGCCTGCTGTCTTCCCAGCACACTTGGGTGTCAGAACTTGATGTTCAGTGGTCACGTACTCCCTGCTAGATACCCTTGTAGGATAGGACTCCTCATCTAGAATAGATTCAGGACCTTTACCTCAGAATTATGTAAACTGTGATTGTCTTTCAGAAAATTTATTATTTGCTAAAATCAGTTAAGTTTTTGTATATGTGTAAATGACCATGAAAATGTATTTTATAAAATGTTCTGTACAGTAGAGTTACACCACCCAGGTGAACTGTTGGAGTGGATTCCTTCCTATAAAGTCTTATCTGCGACTGTGTCTTCGGAATGTTAGTCTGTTACTGTCAGCCAAGTGTTATTACAGAGAGTGCAGCTTCATGCAAACTGAACTTCTCCTTCTTATAATATTGTGGCATATATTGTTTATTTCCGTCAATAGACTCTTCCTTTACACATGGTATGTGGTCTTCACGTTGTGTTTCATTGGCCTGGAGGTTTCATAGCAGAAGATATTAGATCCCCATTTTCATGACATTGCCAGTTATGTCTTTGTCTATGTTTAATACTTTGTATTGGAAACTTTAAATGCTGCGGATTTGTGTAGATTTCTAATACCAAAGACAGAAGTAAATGTTTTTCATATACTTTGTCTTGCCTGTATGCAGCCCTTGTGTAATATGGTGAATTAGAATGATGTACTTTGTAATATTTTGTAAATATGTCAATACAATAAATGGTTACTACTTACAATAAGTTGATTCTTTTTAAGAGTTAAAGAGTCTTTCCATTGAATGATCCCATAATTCACATATACCAATCTCCTAACTAACATGGAAATACAAGCCATATTTTGGTTGGATGTTGCTCAGGATTGCTAAATTATGGACAGTGAACTTTAAGGTAAACTCAGTACTTGCCAATAGTATCTACTGACAGCTTATAGCATGCCCAACTCTGTTCTAAAGGCCTCACATATACTCACAGTGACCCCAGAAGGTAGAACCTCATTTCACCGCTCTGTTCAGATGAGAATTCATCAAGAAGACGAGATTCTTCAAGAAGTTGGAGCTTGCCTGAGGTCACATGGCTGGCAAGTGTCAGAGCCACGTTGTGACTTGAGTAGTTTGGCTCTGGAGCCCATATAACCACTACTCTATCCTGCCACACTTTATAGGGCAAGAGAGAGAGTAGGTGTGTTTTTAAGCTTACATAGCCATAAAATTCTCTGATACTAAATAGTGGTTTAACTTTAATTAACGATGAACAGAATTCAGAACTACTGTATTTCATTATTCCTTCATAGCCCCAAACAGACATTGGCTAAAGAAGTTGATGTCAGAGACTGAACTTTTTTGACCCATTTCCATTCGACTTTTGCACTAAGAAATCATGTCTGCTAAGCCAGAAAGACAGGGAGTCAGGCTTCCCTTGGCAGAGCAGCCCAGCTGATTCTGTGTTGCAGGGAGAGAATGAATGCACATTCCTGTAAGGATCAGGAAAGGCCAGCCCACAGTAGTACTTTCTCTTTTACATCACCATCACACCATGCTCAGCAGTAGCAAATTCTCCAGTTCTCATTACAATACAGTATGTACAGCAGCTTTCACTCTATTTGAGGAGCCAATTCTAATAGTATTTTTGTCATTTCTCTTCCATACATTGTAATGTGACTTCTAGACTTTATATCAGATAATCACCATTCTCATCAACTACAACATGTGCTGAGAACTGCCCGACTTGTCAGGTAACATGAGAACATAGGCTTGGTAGCATTCAGCTACTTTGTCTTCCACTGAGTGATTGGTATATGTTTGTAGTTAGGCCTTAGGTGCCCAGCTTTGTTCTACTTACCTTGCTGAACATAGAGTGAAAAAAGCATGGCCCCAGAAGTCACAATGACTGCCTGGGTTCACATCTCACCTCTGCCAGGCAGGGCCTCAGCCAGTCAGTATGGTCATCACACCCACTGCACAGCGTGGAGGAGACTCATCTGAGATAGATGATAGAATGGAGTTGTGCTTGGCTTAAACAGAGCTCCGTCTGCTCATTGCCATCATTACTATCATTGTCAGATGGATCTGATGAGGAAATTGGGTAGTTGCCATCTTAATTTTTAAATTTCTTGAGCTTAATTCAAGCTTATTAAGGTGAAAAGCTGCAGATTCTAAATTAGCCTCTTTAGGAAGGAAATTAAATTATTTGGCGTCACAGGAAGAGTCAGCATCAGTCAGACACGGGTTCAAACCCTACTCTGCCATTGAATTCTGATCATCAGTTTCCTCTTATGTAATAAAGGAATAATTACAAGTTCTGAAGAGAGCTGTTATGAAGAATGAACAGCATGAATAAAGCGTACCTTGTACAGAGTCTGGCACATAGTGGGCCCTCAAAAAAGTTGGTCTCCATCCCTTTATGAACTGTAAATACGTACTCGGGTGCCAAATTATACACTTGCAGTCTTTATTTTGAATACAATTGAGAGCTTATGCTTTATTTCTTACCCATGGTTTAATTTTCAGCATTCAAATTATATACAGAGTAAAAGATATACATTCAGGAAAATTAATATGCAAACCCCAAAACAATCTCAGAAGTTGAATTTAACAGCTCTACATGATTTTAATTAGGAAAATGGAATTGTTATCTGGCTCAAAATCATTTAGACTTAGTCCATTAGTCACTTCATTTTTCACTGAAACTGGTTTTCTGGGATTGGCTGGACTCTGATTAGAAATGTTATGCACCTGTCTGGTCTGCCAGACTTTGGAAGGCACCTAATTTTAAGTAATGAACATGTTCCAGAATGGAGGTTAAAAAGGAATCCTCTCTCACAAAACATGGCACTGATGAGACCATATTGAGGAAAGCAGTGACAGAAAAACAAAAAAACCTTCTTTTGAAGCACTCTGACTCTATCAGAAACTTCTAGAACTTCTAGGCACAGTGTGACTACAAATAATGACCCAGGCACATGGCCAGATGGTGAGAGGCCTCATTGCCAAAATAGAGTGGATATAAAAGTCACTTAGTGACTCGTCCTTTCAGACTCTTGAATAAGAAGAAGGGTGAACTTTAGCATGGCTTTGTGTCCAAACCCTGATCTAGTTTACTCAAGGTCATGATGGAAAACACTGGCAAAGTAAAGATTCATACCCAGGTGTCCTGGTTTCAAGTCAAATGTACTTTCATTTCTCCATGATAGTTTCTGATTTTCTAGCTACGCCTGCTTCATAAGGCTTTTCTTCTGAAAATCATTCTGGGGAGCTGCTAGGGTCCTAGTTCAGGTGGAAATGTGGCAAAGTCACCATCCTTGTCCCTCTTGCTGTCAGCAGGTGTCAATGAGTTTGACATGTCAGTGGACCTGATACTGACTTGGGAGTCTAATTGGGGAATGCATGTGGATTTCCTAATGATTTCAATGACCTCTACACAGAACAGAAAAATTGATTTTTGATTCTTTGTGTCCCCCCCATTGTAATTTGATATCTGTCTCCTTTTATTCACTTGTAAATTCTTTTTTTTCATACTTGTATATGCCAGAGAATATGCTAGATGTTTGTTGTCAGTCATTTCATGTATCTCATTTAACCCTTCTAGGAATCCATCAGAGATTCACATCTCATATTTTAATCATAAAAACTCTAGACCTAGTTAAATACTGTTTCCACATGGGGATTGGTTTTTAAGGCTTTTTGACCTGTTTGATTCTTCTGTACAACCTCTCTTTTGGTCTAGGTTGCAGCATAAACCAGTGGTTAGAGGTTTAGCTTTAGAACCAATTTATCTGGCTCTGCTGCCTGACCTAGGGAATATTGCTTATGCTGCTTGTTCTTCTGCTTCTCCAAAGTTAAAATGGGATAATGATTGCACCTTACTATAGAGGGTTTTTTTAAAAAAGGGTTATATGAGATAATATATATACGTAATGTTTAGAAAATGCCTGGCAGACAGTAGACATTCAGTGAACAAAAATTTAAATTGTGTTTTGGCTACCAGTTCAGATATACACATAATAATAAATGCTACAATTTTAGAAAGTTAACTCAGGTACGAAAAACTTCCTTTGGATGTATATTACATCTTGAGTTAACTTTTTACATTAGTAATGCTTTAAAAAATATACCTAAGTGGGGTATAAATAAATGCCCTGCCAGAGCATGGTGTATCAGTTATCTACTGCTACATAACAGATAACTGCAAAACTTCACAACTAAGGAAAACAATCTATTATTGCCCAGTTTCTGTGGGTAAGGAATCACAGAGTAGATTAGCTGGGCATTTTCAGCCAGGATTTCCCAGGAGGTTTCAGCCACGTGTCAGCAAGAGCTTTGGTTTTCTCAGTGCTCAATGAGGGGAGAATCTGGGCCCAGATTCACTCATGTGGACCTCTCCACATGGCTGCCTCATGACATGGCAGGTGGCTTCTCCCAAAATGAGCCTCTAAGAGTAAAAGAGAAAGAGCACTCAAGATCCAAGCTCATCTTTTTATAGCATCCTCGGAAGAGACATTCTTTCACGTCTCCTCTGCTCTGTTCTTCATATTTGAGTGACTAAATCTAGCTGCCTGTCAAGGGGAAGAGATCACGTAGGAAAAAAAAGCCAAGACAAAGGGCCTGTTGGGGCTGTCCCAGTGGTTGCTGACCAAAGATGAGTAAATTGAAAGATTATTGAAACTAGACATTAGGCTTATCTGAAAGACATAGATTACTTTGGAGAAATTTAGCTGTCTAAAATTTAATTTATTGCAAAAAAACCTTTCCTGGTTATTCCTTGAATGTACGTTTTCTGAATACCTACTCAGTACCAGCATCTCCTGGAGATATAGGATGAACAAGAGAAGATGTCTCAGGGGAACTCGCGTCTTTTGTCCTTTCTCATTTACTCTTCCAGAAGCGCCAGTGTTAGGAGAGGGAACAGGGAAAGATGGAGGAGAGTTTCCCAAGATGTATGAAGTGGGCTCAACTTCTCAGTAACACAGAGAAGAGTGGACATAGCAACTAGCCACACCTAGAAAGTAACTGTTGAGTAAAACCCTACATTCTCCAAGTGTCCTGCAAACCATTCAACAAATATGTTGTGAACTCCTACAAACTCCACAGTTCCAAGCTTTGAGGATACAACAGACCTAACTCCTACGCTTGAGGAGCTTGTGTGTTTGCAAGTGACAACAAGCAATAAACACACTCACAATGTTAGGAACTAATGAGTGTTATCGGGGTGGGAGGGGAATAAATTTTTAGACTGTTGTCTGATATAGGATAATCAAAGAAAGCTTTATCAGGAAATTATTTTTGAACAAGAACCTGATTTAAATGAGAAAGGAAAAAATGGATAAATATATCTGAATGCTCAGTGTTTCCGGTACACTAAGGGCTGGGTGGTTGGAGAAGGCGAGCAGGAATAGAGTGACAGATAATGTCAGAGGACTTCCTGGGGGCCAGCAACAGTAGGTCTTGTAGAGCTGGAAGGGAGAGTGTGGGAGCCACTAGAGGGTTCTAAGCCAAACAGGGGACTGATGAGGTCTCATTTACAGATTAGAAAACTCACACAGGATTCTGTGGATGAAGATAGAGTTAGACCTGGGCAATCAACATTGCCTTCCTTCCATTACAGCTCCTGCCTTGCCAGGGCTCTCATAGCAACATACCACAGTTGGGTTAGTGCAATCCACAGAAATGTATTGTCTCACAGTTCTGGGGCCCAGAGGTCAAGGCGCCAATAGTGTCATCGTCCTTCTGGAGACACTAGAGAAG